TTTATTATTAATAAATAGCCGTTTTATTAACTTTATGGGTGTGTCCAATCAATTAATTAAGTGATATTGATAATTAATAGTCTGTGAAATAAGTGATATTAGCATTTAAGTGATATTAGTATTTAGAGCTCAGCTCATAAATAGAACAGTTCAATAATTATATATTTATTATTGTCAATATTAATTGTTAGTTATGGAGTTGATCATTGGACTGGAATGTCGAGGAGAAGACATCCTTACTAGTGATGGACTGAAGAAGAGAGAGGGAGAAGAAATAAGAGGAAAGTTAACTTGTACATCAAAAGTTTTTTTAGAAATTAAGTATAAGTGTTTAGCTAGCAGTAAGAGAATATAATATCTGAGGTAGTAAGACATTCCTATATCAAATTAAAGGTTTCACTGTAGCTAAAATTGACCTACTAATTCCCACTATTGTAAAAGTACATGTACATATGTACATGTACATACATGCTGTATATTGTATGCACATTACCGTTGATGTGAATAGCTTCCATTGTTTGCTAGTTGTGATTGAAAATCACTCCATGATAAAGGAGCTGATAGCCTTCTGGAATATAATTAAAAAATAAATAAACAAACAAATAAATAAACAATACATCTTTATTTACCTTTCATTGATCATGGATTGATTAGAAGTAGAAGTAACTGACATTGGAACACTACAAACAGACAGAGATACATTATACATGTACTCTATTGTGGTCACAGTCTTTATACATACATGTACAATAGAATGGGACTAGAGGTGGCTTAAACTTAGTGAGCACAAAAATAACAAAAATTATGCTGCATACAGTGAAATATTATTTGCATGTACATGTACTGAACTAACCCTTCATGTCTTGGATAAGCACTTGATAATACTCTTGAACTACGAATAACACCTTGAAATAATAATAATAATAATAATAATAATAATAATAATAATAATAATAATAATCCATCTTTTTCAAAGACTGTCTGTGACCCTGTGGCGGTCCAATGCTCAGATGTGGTTGGGTCGGTCTTCCATTTTGTCCCCTGAGGTGGATGGCCAACTGTAGGACGTTTTGTTTCATTTTTATTTTATTGTCATTTTATTTTGTTATTATTTTATTATTGTTATTTTATTTTATTTTCCTATTTTTGGTTGGTCCCCATTTTTCGTTTCTATTTTTCTTCCCTTATGGGCTTTCCCTTTTTGTTTCTCTTGTCTCTCATTGTGTATAATAATAATGGAGCGGGGATTATTATCTATCCTCACCAGTAAACATTAAGCTTATCAAATCTCTCTATTGACTTATTTCATTTTATTTTATTAATATTATGTTCTGCCTTATCTTGCTATATTTTCTTGTCCACCTTATTCTTTTATATTTCTTGTTATGATAAAAAAAAAAAAAAAATTTAATTACCCATTCTCCCATCAATTGGTGGTGTCCTTATACTCAGTCTTCCAGGAGCAATCAGTGAGTTTAATACTCTCTAAAATAAATAAACAATATCAGCAACGAGACACCTACGGTGCTTGGATTCACTGCAGTGCAGTTACTCTTGCATTTATGTAAAAGCAATGAAACATGGGCTTCATCTCTATTATGCAGCATGATAAAGACAAGGACCATGATTCGTTGCTTTAATAGTGCATGTTTTCACTGACTCAAGTCAAAAGAGCTTTAAAAAACTAACACCTATTGTGATGGCACAGATACTGTTGTCTTGATAGATTATATTTGCTGAAGAGATCATGCATAAGACAGCAAAACAAAAAATAATGCATTAAGAAATGCAAGCATGTAAAATTGCCAATTATTAATAGAGGCATGGTTTCTAGGCCTAGAGCACTTAGTTTTTTAATTTAAAATATTTTTCAAAAATTTCATGATCACAGACAGACAACCAAAGTACTTAATACTCACCTATGCGGCGAGTCCAATTATAACACATATGTACCATGGTTTTTTTCAAAAAATGGCCCCAAAATCACCCCAAATTTTTATTGCATTTTCTGATACATATTGATGTCCTTATGCTGTGTAGCAAGTTTGAGCTAATTCCGACTTCAATTTTTCAAGTTACGGCCATTTTTAAAAAGCGCCAAATTTCTGAAAAGTATCCAAGGCTATAGCCCATGGTTTTTTCCAAAAAATGGCTCCAAAATCAACCCAAACTTTTATTACATTTTCTGATACATATTGATGTCCTTATGCTGTGTAGAAAGTTTGAGCTGATTCCGACTTCAATTTTTCAAGTTACGGCCATTTTTAAAAAGCGCCAAATTTCTGAAAAGTATCCAAGGCTATAGCCCATGGTTTTTTCCAAAAAATGGCTCCAAAATCAACCCAAACTTTTATTACATTTTCTGATACATATTGATGTCCTTATGCTGTGTAGAAAGTTTGAGCTGATTCCGACTTCAATTTTTCAAGTTACGGCCATTTTTAAAAAGCGCCAAATTTCTGAAAAGTACCCAAGGCTATAGCCCATGGTTTTTTCCAAAAAATGGCTCCAAAATCAACCCAAATTTTTATTACATTTTCTGATACATATTGATGTTCTTATGCTGTGTAGAAAGTTTGAGCTGATTCCGACTTCAATTTTTCAAGTTATGACCATTTTAAGAAACACCAAAATTCTGAACATGCAATTATCATAGTCTCAATACCTTTCCACTGGGATGTCTCATTGAGTCGGTCTCAAGTTTCCTCTTCTCACCTCCTCCTCCTCTTGAGGCCCCACCTACAGCCCTGCCCCTTTCCTCAGCCCTTGCTCTAATGTAGGATAAAACTGCCAAGTCATTGACGGCTGGCGTCATGGCAACAGTTGGTCTCCTAACAGTGACTGAGGATACAATCGAGGGTAATGTGAAGGAGGTAGTCCCTCCAGAGCTACCCGATCATCTCATTGATGACCGGAGAGAGTGGGATATAACAGTGTCAGGTCCAGCTTCTTTTGGAATAATTCTCCTTCCTATAGTTAGTGAGGGATCATTTGGTCTAGGAGGAGACGGTGGAAATGATCTTGAATCTGATGAAACAGTAGCATATTAATAATAATAATAATAATAATAATAATTGGAGAATTCTCTCCTTTTCATTTTTGGCAAAACTTGGCCAAACTCCCTCTACTATAGTACAGGGACCTTTGTCCCATTTTAAAGTAACTTTAAAAATTAATAAAATATCTAATTTTGATTGCAATCAGTTCAAACTTTCTACACGACATAATGTATCAGAAACCAGGATACTTCCATAATTTTTCTTAATAAGAGTTACTCTAAACTCTCAATACACATATATACATGTAAATACAGCATTTGTATAATCAAGTGAATTATCTCCCAGCCATTACTATACCATAATAATTGTTACCCTTTCTGGAGTATTGGTTCCTCTTAATGGGAAGGTGGTTAATGTATTGACTCTACCCACTGGTCTATCTACTAGTGATGGAGGACCGCATGATGGTGGTACGTGTAGGTTCATTAGTAGGTGTGGCCTGATAAAAGCGGGCGGGGTTTGTATGGAAGATGCAGAAACAGCTCTTGATTCTAACTAATGGAGGGAGAGAAAGAGGGAGGGAGAGAGGTTAAAATGAAATAGAAAGGTAATGTTCTATTTAATACTTACATTTAATTTAATTTGTTGTAGTCTCGCATTTTCCCTATAAAATAAATAAAATAAATTACCCCATCAATAAGTTACTTTTCAAATAACAGTATTTCCTTTCTTTTCTAGCAGCAAGATTCTGCAACTGATAATAGTTTATTAATTAAATATAATAGTTAATTAATAACTAACTTTCTGTAGTTTGTGCTTTACTAATCTAGTCCTATGCTCCTTTTGAAACCTAGCAACCTAATAAAAGTACACATACATGTAATGAAACACGTGGGTGTGGCATTGATTGGGTGTGGTTTAAATTGTTGACCATATATGGTATTACATGTACATACTTGTTCAAAATTTAGGATGAATTCCTGTATAATGGACTAAGGAGTCTTGAAATATATCGTGACATATGGTGGAGCCTGTAGAGGGAGAAAGAACGATTAATAATTACTTATTTTAATTTACTTCTTTTGACAGATCAAGAACTGAATTACACACTGCCTTACATACCAGACAGAACTTATCTCTCTCACCTAAATATACAATAAATTAAGAAGCAAAATCCAAATGTTCATAAATTCTATGTTAATACCATAGGATTTCCCACAGAATAAATGACCACACGACGTTATAATGAACTGGGTGTTTCTTCTATTCAGTGTAGCAATTGTTACAATGCATCCAGTCCTTCACACCCACTATTTTTTATTATGGAATACTCCAGTCTCCAGTCCAATTACTCTATTGAATTTTTTATTGACCACGTGGCATTGCGCATGCGCAGATGCAGAATCAGTATTCGATTCCAGTCTCAAAAGTATTCAGAATCGGAATCGAATGCAAATTTCTGGCTAAAACTAATAAATATTTTATTAACCAAAACCACCAGATAATACGTTATTAATTATTTGATTTATCACTGTCCTTTGAAATTAAATTTCCACACAAACTATGCAGTGGAACTATTTAATTAAACTGAACTACACTTATACACTAAAACTGGGGAGCAAACAAACATGATTTTCTACAGCATTGAGTACATGGAGTAGTTCTAGTACATTCAATGTGGCATAGGTTCATAAACATAAAACTGGGTGGGGTTTTCCATAACATAAAACAGTTTCCCTGCTGCATCCTATAAGAAATGTGTAGTCCTAGATGTGCTAAAAGCTCTCACTCCTCCTGACTATAAAATGGTATACTTGTTCTGAGGTGCAAATAATTAATATTCGAAAATAATACACATTATTATTATTATTATTATTATTATTATTATTATTATTATTATCAAGGGCGTAGCTAGCATAAGGCTAGGGTAGGCTATAGCCTACCCTGAAGTTCAGAAGTCAGAATTGAAGTTTAGTAGTTTACCTATATTGAGTTTCTGCCTTAGTCACTTATGATCAAAGATTATAGAAGTTTAGGGTAGCTGTCTCAACTGGCAGTTACTCACTCAGTCACTTTTGACACAGGCAAACAGAGACAGGAGAAAGAAAAGAAAAACAGCCATTTTAGCACAATTATTATAATTTATTAAGGTGGAGTCTTTACATAATTAACTTAATTAATTAGCTAGCTTAATAAAATTATAAAAAGTTAACTTTAAGTGAAGCCATCACAATGTCAGCTGCAAAGAAACAAAAGCTTTGTAATTTTTTATGCAAAATTTAGTTGAGTATATTAGTAGTCAACCCCAGCCATATAGACTGAAGATGAGCATGAGGAGATCGAAGATGATGATCTTGTGAATGATGATTTTGTTGATTGTGCTGCTACCTTGAGTCTTGCCTGAGTCCTCATCTGAGTCTGAAGCAGTTGCGAGATTAGAGTAAATGAAACCATAGATAATAGAGTAAATGAAAGGGATTGGAAACGGAAGCGTGGGCGTGGGCAAACCTCCATTCATTTGTATTGTTGCTAAGTAAACAAAGGAGGGTTGGGATTTTTTGACCGATTTTGGAGCAAAAAACAGAGATTTTCTTGCTTTATTCTTGAATAACTCCAAGAGAATACAATTCATGCAAACAAAACTCTCACACAATACTAACCAATGTTTATGCTTTTTATTAATATATTTTTTTCAGTAAATCAATGCATGCATTAGTAGCCGCGTCACTATTTAACTAGAAATACCATCTTTTCCCCCTCTGAGAGATTCATGTTGATCTTGAGCTACGAATAAGTATAACCATTTTAAAGAGCTTGAAATCTCCTATGGAATGAGCTAACTTGCACGTTGATACCATGAAGCTTGAGTGTTATACGAACGATAAAGTGTTTCAAAAACAGGCGACTTTGTGTACCTCTAACTGGTTGCAAAATGGCTTTTTGGAGACAAAAACCTTGCTCCAGGTAGCTCTAAAAATTCTATGTGGAATAGGCTATATATCAAAAGCAAGGGCTTTACTAGAGCGACACAATATCCTTGCTAAAGTACTACCTTGTGCATGATTCACGGCTTGTCAGTGCTTGAGCAATTTTCTTTAAAAAGAATTGTATACGGTACTTTTGTTGTTGCCATAGCTACGGCCGTTGTCATGGAGAGTTCATTTCGGGTCAAACCGCATGATCAAATGGAATAATTTGCATTCGCTTTCAGAACTACCATTTCGCTTTCAGAACTTGATCATTTGAGGTAAACATTCATAATAATTACAATAATTATAATAATAATGCAATATAGGATGCCAAGAAAGTTTTCTTTGTGTTCTAAGAAACACTTCAAGCAAAGCCAAAAAGAAGTCAGCTTGAGGCTTTCAATTAAAAAAATCCACTACTTGAAGATAAAAATCCAACAGCAGCAATTACCTCAGCAATGGGTTTCTCTCTTTACTGCAAAAAATATTTTGAAATTTTGCAAAATTACTGAAGATGATAAAGTTTCCTATTGTTTCACTGTACATGAAGACTTGAGCTTTTACGTGACATACTGCAGCAATCGGATTGAAGTAAACGGCATAGAAGATGAGAAAATAGCTAATATTGAAACAATATTTGATGTCATCAATGAAGTAGACAAAATTCATATCTGTCCAGGCAATAACGATGATAAATTCATATACCTAGCAGAAAATAGGAAATTTTTAAACATTGAAGGTAAAATTAATAATTGATATTGTAATAATTATGTTTATAATTATTATAGGAGTACCAATTGCGTCATTACAAACCATTCCTACAAAAACTATACGCCATCACAACTGCACAATTGTCACTAGCTCACCTGATAAGAGATGCATCACCTGTAATAACTTCCGAAAAACTCTATTTGCTCTTCATCATAAGGTTAAATATCCTAAAAGCACAAACAAGACCTTCACCAGCCACAGGTTTCTAATTGATACTAAAAAGAATCAATTTTTAAGAGCTTTTTTTAGAAAAGAAAACAGATTTGTAAAGAAAGGAATTGCTGACATGAAGCTGGAAAAGTTTGATTCGTATGCCGAGACCAATAGCATTGCTGTAGATGAAAGCACAGCTAGTGACATGATAAAAATCATGAATGAGCACAATGCACAAATATCAGCCACTTACTCAGAGAATAGCTTTCAGAAATTATTCTGGGACAGCCAATTAAAAGCTGTTACAACACCCAAAAAATCAATTCGCTGGCATCCATCTATCATCAAGTGGTGTATCTACCTAAGAAATAAATCATCCAGTGCATATGAGTCAGTACGAAAATCAGGCATCTATTTACCTTCGCAGCGTACCCTCAGAGATTACACACATTTTTATAAGTCGACCAGTGGCTTTAGTTATGAATTAGATCTACAAATAATCAGAGAATCAAAAGTGCATTCATTATCAAATTTTCAAAAAGAAGTATGTCTTGTTGCAGATGAGATGCATATAAAAGAGGGGCTTGTATATGACAAATTTACAGGTATTTAATACTTTTAAGCAGTGAAAATTTAGATCTTATTTTAAATTAACAGGTGACTTAATAGGGTACAGCAACACGGGAGATATAAATGAGCATTTACTTCAACTTGAGAAACAAGTACACACAGAGCAGTCTGCAGATGCAAGGCAACCACTAGCCACCTCAATGTTGGTGCTCATGGTTCGGGGATTATTTACCGATTTCTCGTTTCCATATGCATCATTCCCAACATCAAGCCTAACAGGGGACCAACTAGTTCCAATATTTTATGAAGCTGTTCTTAGACTAGAAAAGTGTGGTTTTAGAGTCGCTTGTAATACTTTAGATGGAAATTCTGTCAATAGGAAGTTTTTTAAGATAGTAGGAAATAATTCCAGCAAAATTACTTACTACACAAAAAACCCATGCTCGATTGACAGAAATATATACTTCATATCAGACCCCCCACACTTAATCAAGACCACACGAAATTGCTTGGCTAGTTCAAAAAGAAGCATGAAGGTAAACAAACTAATAATTATTATTAAATTTGTCAATGAATATAACATTACCAATTGCAGTTTAATGACAAAGCTATATCGTGGAAATTTGTAAAAGAGCTGTATGATATTTCCCTGAAATCTGAAGGATTAACTTGCATTCACAAGTTAAAGTATGAACATGTCAATTTGACACCATTTTCTAAGATGAGGGTAGATTTGGCGGCAGAGGTAATTACTATAATGAAATATACATTTACATGCTGCACATTTATATTGCAGGTTCTTAGTTCAACAGTAAGTAATGGTATGAGGACGTTTTTATCAGATGAAGCAGAAGAAACAGCAAATTTCATTGAAAAGTTCGATAAATTCTTTGACATGCTTAATGTGTCAAACTATTTGTCAACATACAAGTCTCTAAAGCCATTTAAAGCACCATACAGATGGTCCGCTGATAAAAGGTTGCAAGTAAGCAGATCATCATCACATATAGTCACATGCATGCACAAAATATTTATTTATAGTGGTTGAAAGATGAGTTCCTAGCATGGATAGAAGAATGGGAGAAACAAGTAACAGAGAGAAAAGACATCCCTGCTAAAGAGAGAAACAAATTAATTCTAAGTAAAGAAACACTACTGGGAATTAAGATAACAGGTATAAGTTTACAATAATTGGCAAAAAATAACTATATTAAAATTAGCTTACTCATTCAATGACCTTCTGAAGTACCTATTCACACTTCCTGATGTAAAATCATTTCTCAGTGAAAAGCTATGCCAGGACCCTTTGGAAAAACATTTCGGTTTACATCGTCAAAGAGGAAGGACAAATGAAAACCCTACTTCTGCAGAGTTTCTAAAAAATCAGCAAGCTCTGAGAGTTGTCAGCAGCATTCGATTAGATGGTATCATTAATGGTAATACACGAGGAAATAAGGAAGACACAAATGTACCAACTGATGGCGAGCCATTACCCAAGAGAAGGAAACTTGTTAAGTCTTCCTCAACTGACACTCCAGCAGCCACAAGTCCAGTCTCACCTGAGAAGACAGAAATAGAAAGTATAATACTATTCATTTTTATTTGTATTACTTAGTACTCTCTAATAGATGTCCTGCAAATGATTATTGAGAGCCCAGAATCAAAGTTACCATCAATCTCAGTAACTATGATTATTAAAGCTGCCAAGCAACTACTACTATGGAGTTCAAACAAGGTCAATGAACAAAAGATGAAACAGTTCAATCAATATCTCATCACATTCTTTAAGATATGGACAACTTTAACAGTCACAACCCAGTTTGTCCGAGAAGAAACTTGGAAAAGGTTTGCTTTGTTTGTCTCATCATCAGAATATAACACATTTTGGGCATCAGTCTATAGCACAGTAGGCATTACTCCATGTCCCGCCATTTTATCTTTCGAAGTAACATTTAGAATGTTCACAGCTTATTGGAAAAAACAAACACTAGCAAGAATTTCAGCAACAGCATCAACAGATAGTTCATCTCCTTCATTAAGTTTTGACGAGCAAAATGCACTGTGGTATGTTGGTGGCTATGTAATCAGAAGAATGAGAACAAAGATTAATAAGAATAGTACGGCTAAGGAAATGGATATGCTTCTGCCTTTGCTGGATGAGTTAGTTGAAGATCACGACGAGGATAATGGAGATGGAGAAAGAGAAGACGAAGAAGATAATGATATGAATAAGAGCTGGATCAATTGTATCAATAGAGGAGGACTTGTTTACTGCACCAATGAGTTTCATACGTTCCTGTACTCGTTAGAAATTCAAGTGAAACTTTGTTGCAACTATGGAAAAAACAATGTTCAAAGTATGGCAGAGATGATAGGTCAAAAGGAAGAGCTCAAAGAAATATGGGACAAAATATTTCAAGAAAATCGTGACGCCGATGCAGCAGCCGAGTGCCGCTCTCAAGGAAAATCATTCCTCTTGAAAGAAATAATAGCAATTTATATAACAATAAGAGGCTTCAGGCACACATCAAGAATAATGGAAATGTACAAAAAGGATGAAAAGAAGAACTTACAAAAAAGGAAAAGCCTGAGAAGCACGCTTGCTGCTAGTGAAGAGTGATTGATAATTATTATTATTCATTTGATATCGAAAAAATTATTTTAAAAATATAATGAGTAAATAGATCAAATTCGGTCCCAACCCGCATTTCCTGTTGCTACGCCCCGTTGCCAATCCCTTTCATTTACTCTATTATCTATGATGAAACCATAGATATTAAAGTAAATGAAAGGGATAGGAAACCACCGTTCCCGGCAGGAAATGCTAGTTGCTAATACCGTATTAAATTGAACGGATTATTAGAGTAAAATGGTGTATGAAAAATTAGAATAAGGTCCTGCAGTGATGACAAGGGCACTTCTCTGCTGCATTCTGAGCTCCAGAAACAAAATGAATAGCTTCTTTGCTATGTAGTACCTTCTTTATGGCTGTGCTAAATATTCTATTTTCTTTCATATGATATTTATGCTCTTGTATCATTCAAAATTATCTCTAATTGTGAAAAATTGTAAAAGTGAATATTTATTTTTATTTTATTTATGAAATAGAAGGAAAGCCCCAAAACATGTGGAAGACCTCCGCATTTGAAGTACAGACTGATACAAAAAAGTTTAAGGCTAGAGTATTTGTTACTGGCGAGTTAAGGGTACAAAACAAAAGCAAAATTTGGGTCTACTTTTTGCTTAGAAATCACAACCATACAATATTTCCTATTAGAAGATGTCTCAAGACCTCGGTTATAACATTGGTTAATGTCTTTTAAACACCAATAGATGGTTCATAAAATTGACTTTCAGAAAAAGGTACAAAACAAAATCGGTAGTTTGGACAACTTGACAGTAGGAGTTCAAGATAGGATTTCATTCGGGCCATTAGTGCAGTCCTTCTGAACCAGGTATCAATGTATAGATATGATCTTGATCTTTGCAGCTGACCTGGAACTGGATCTGTACTCCATATCGGACACGAATTATAAGCCAAGAAGTCCAGTGATGGTCCTCCATTTTCCTAGTTTCCCGGTAAGAAAAACGACAACTTGCATACGTCGCTAGGCAACGCATGACATGCCCATAAATTTAACGGTGGTTTCCTATCCCTTTCATTTACTCTAATATCTATGATGAAACTCCATATTGTGAGAACACGCCCATTTCACGGGCGTAAAAGTGGGCGTGGCCAAATAGGCGGGCGCGCTTCGCGCGCCCTTTTCTACTCATAGCCTACCCCTTCCTTTTTTCTCCCTACGCCCTTGATTATTATTATTATTATTATTATAGCACGTGGTTTCCATACACTTGTTCTGTAGAGTTCTGGGAGTGGTCATTCACAACACAATAATAATTCCAGGAAAGTGAGAAAGAGAAAGGAAAGAGAGGAGTATTAAGATAAAAATAGACATTGGTGTGTGTGTGTGTGTGTATTACAGTATAGTGTCTCTAATATTTGACTGGTTCATTAATTCCACTAGCACATAATTGTGTATGAGTATCAGTTATTGCTGCATATTATCATCAATTAATATAATTAATTATTACTAGCTGTTACTACTAGCAGCTGGTGTTGTAGCATTAGTTATTAAAGGTCTAGCGTATTCCACAAATTCATCAATAAGGACTGGCCAAGCACCTACAGAAAGAATAGAAGGAGATAGAGAAATGACAACAAGACATATACTGTTCACAGTTACAGTATAGACAGAAGCATGAATAATAAACCTACCATACAATCATTAATGTACATGTACATGATCATGTACTTCTTTGCATAAAATCATTAAAAAATTTACAATGCAATAAAGCTGCCACACATTAAAGTGGTATACAAATAATTTAAACAGGACATTACAATTTATACAGTATAGACCTACCATCTTCATCATAATTGCTCATGGTGTCATCAATCGTGTTTGAAAACTCTAGCAGAAGGTTCCAAGTGTCTTTGGGTATCGCTCTTTTATAATGAGACTGAGAGAGAGAGAGGGAGAAGGAGGGAGGGAGGGAGGGAGGAAGGGAGAGGGAGGGAAGGAGGGAGAGAGAGAAAGAGGGAGGGAGGGAGGGAGAGAGAGAGAGAGAAAAAGAGAGGGAGGGAAGGAGGGAGAGAGAGAAAGAGGGAGGGGAGAGGGAGGGAGGGAATGTCAAGATAATTACAGTAAAAGTGGCTTGTAATTACAAGTATTTTTTACTTTTAAAAATTCACACCACAAGTCCAAAAATTTGAAGCGACCAGTAAAAACAAGATTCCAGTAGGCAATGGCCATCTCAAGATCTGTAAAGAAAGAGAAGGAAAAGAATTTAACCAATCCATACAATATACACATGTACTATACATGTACATGTACATGCATTTCAAGGGAAATTCCCACCAACATATGTACATGTACATTAAAATCACTGAGTCACAAGTTTAGCAAACATGATGCTACATGGACAATAATACTATGTAACTAGCCTAGTCCTTTCTGCCCCGGGTTTTTGGCAAAATTAAACGTAAATTGGTAGAAGTCCTTGAACTGTTGTGAGTCCTGTATCTCCCGATCAATGGTCTCACACCTTTTACGGAGTTTATCAATGGAATCACACCTAAAAGAGGGAGAGAGAGAGAGAGAGGTAGAATTGTACTTGTAATTGTAGAAAGACTATTATACTGAATGTGAATCACAGTAAAATAATGTATAGCAAATAGAAAAGGTAAGTCTTTATCAATATTAATACAATTATTACAGAGAAAGAGGGAGGGAGAGAGTGAGTATAGTTGTGTTTGTTAACTTATAATGTACACTGGTCCTTACCCTAATCTGGTCATCCCTTCTACAAACTCCTGTCTAGTGAACTCGCACTGTGTGGCAGCCTATGGGGAAAGAGGAAAAGTGAAACAAGTGACAAGTACAGGGACTTAGTACATGTATACATGTATGCATTGAAAATGTAATAAAAATGGAGAATTCTCTACTTTTCATTTTTGGCGAAATTTGGCCAACAACCCTGTACTATAGTACAGGGACTGTGACACAATTTTGGAGCAACTTTTTAAATTTGTAAAAAATCCAATTTTGATCGGAATCAGCTCAAACTTTCTACACAACATAAGTACATATGCATCAGGAAATGTAATTAAAAATTGGAATTCTCTCCTTTTCATTTTTGGCAAAATTTGGTCAACGACCCTGTACTATAGTACAGGGACTTTGACACAATTTTGGAGCAACTTTTTAAATTTGTAAAAAATCCAATTTTGATCGGAATCAGCTCAAACTTTCTATGCAACATAAGTACATGTATATGCATCAGAAAACATAATAAAAATTGAGAACTCCCTACTTTTCATTTTCGGCAAAATTAGGCCAGATGATTACACAATGCATGTACATGTGATCTATAGTTATGCATACATACGTTTAGTTTCCAAGCTATAATTAATACGGTGACACTCGCTGGATCTAGTCTCAGGTCGGCACAGAACCTCGTCACACCTTCAGCCAAAATCTTGTCCTCGTCAACAGAATCTGATTAAACACTAAAATAATTTGCTGTACAAATTACTAAGTTAGCATTTTAAGAACAAGTATTAAGTATTAATTAATTGTACAATTTTATATTAATTATTAATGAATCACTTTAATTGTAAAGATCCCTTGTTACTAAATTCACAATTAATTAACACAATTTGTATTATAACTACTGTGTAACTAGCCACACCCACCACATATTAATAACTAACCACACCCACCTCTATATTTATTAAAAAGTGCATCTAGTTTTTTCTTATCCACAGCCGGCACTGGAGGCGGTATATAATACAGCTCAGGGTTTTCGTAATAATTATTAATAGCTGGTTCCAACTTCCAGTCACTATTAGAAAGGTAACTCACGGCAGTCGCCTCGTCCATTCCTAATGAATCACGTGATTAAGTCACGTGATCAGGGGAAGGGGCTAACCTGTGAGTGAAATGAACTGTCTCATTTTTCCTTTTTGTGAGCTGGAGTATTTGGATTTGTGATACTAAAAATAGAAAAATATGAGGTACTTGCTCTCTCTTTTTCTCTCTTACTCCTGAGGAAGACATTATTGACAAGAATTGAGAGAATGAGGGTGCTATAATGAAGGTCTTGGGCCTGCTGATTCACTCCCAGCCCACCAAAGGCAAATAAAATAATTGACCACACCCACCACGTGGTTAATACCCCGCCCCGAACCACGCCTCAAACTATACATTTCAAAATGGGGTATCGAAGAGGGAAGCTCTTGCTGATTTTTCTCTTTTTCCAAATAGTCTTAGTCTTATTCTTTTTCACATTATTATCCTTTGGCTCTAAGAGTTTTAGTAAGACTATAATCATCAGTAATATTTTATTATTTATCTCTGTTTTTATAGATTCCAACAAAAATGAGCGTTCCAGCATCATAAACAGAGACTTAAGCTCTAATCAGTTTCTCGTCAATCCCAGTATACTAGCCGGCCCTACTGTATCAGATCACACTACATCATCATCAGCATCCACGGAAAAGAGCAGCCCTGTATTGCCAGCAACTTCAGAAAGGACCACTCCTATTCTAATACCGTCACATTTCATACCAGATCTTTTGACAGTACCAGACTCATCTTTTAAAATGTATTCTGCTTATTTGGACGACAGGGAAAAGTTTTACGGTCCAGCAGTGTATGTACTTGGTATCGACCTCATGAAACGATATTCAGAAGGATTGAGAGGTTTAATTACTTATAATAATGGAGCTCGTGTTTGCATTGGGCCTGCAATCTTTGAGAAACCTTGTGATTATAAATGCAACAGGTATGTACATTATACGACATATGACACCGTGAATAACGTTTTTAAACTCAATCATCCTCTGAATTCCTCCGTATATCCAACTTTGATTAGTATTTCAAGAGACTGCACAGGAAATTTAGCATCAAAACCACTTAAGATCCACCCACACAACCCAAATAAGGACAAACGGGATTTTGGGATTTGCATACAGACCCCCGTATATGGTAAAGTACAAGTTGAAGATCTCGTGTATTTCATTGAAATGAACAAGTTATTAGGGGCGGAGTGGATAATGATGTATTCAATGATTGATGGACTTGAGAATAATGATGAATTACAACCTTACATACGGGATAACCTACTAACCGTCGTACCCTGGCCAAAAATATTCAAAAAATTGAGCCCAACTCATTATTTTGGTGAGATATTGTCGGTTCATGACTGTCTCTATCGTTCTTTAAGTTGGATCAAACATTTGGTACTTATTGATATTGATGAGCTGATAATACCAAGGCATGGTAGAACATGGAGTGAGATGATAGGATCAATTCCAAAGGCATATGACGCTTACCTGGTAATAAATACGTACTATACCTCTGCTAAGGATAAAGACACAGAACTTGATAAAGTAATTGATAAAGAAGTAATTGATAAAGAAACTGAATTAGTTCCAACTAAGAGCAGCTGTCATGTTGTACCTTATTTTAATAAACTGTATCGATATTCATGCATGTTCCGACCTTACAGACGTTCAAAAGTGTTAATAAGAGTTGATGCTATTAAGAATCTCGATATTCACGCTATCCCTAGTGCCAACAAGGCTAAAGTGTACATTGTTCCTACTAATATAACGTCGTTGCTTCATTATAGAGGTGACCCGACTCCAGACTGTAAGAACAAGAGTCTCATTTATGATTCAATCGCTTTGAAGTACAAGAGAGATTTCATTTTAAATTCTGGTATAAATGTATGTCATGAGAATGATAATATTTGATATAAATATTTGATGTTGATATTAATTTTTATTAAGTCATTAAGAGGAAGCTCATTACCTCCGGATACATTAAGTATCCGGGACAGTACGGACGGAGAAGAATAACCACGCCTCTTATAATCTTGACAAAATGGCACTCTTTAGGAAGAATAGTTTACTTCTCTACATGATTTTCATCCTCTTCTTTGGGTCTATCATATTACTCTACTCATCTCTTTATAGTAAAAATATAGAGTCAGTAGATTATCCAAAAGATATACGTTCTTCCTTAACACAGCAAACGACAAAAGGGCCCACAATGGCAAACTGTTCCTGTCCTACATGTCCGCCCTCTCTCTCTACTCCCCACTCAATAGAGGAGGAAGGAGCAGCAACTCACCCTCCAACTGTTAGAAAAGAAACTGAGAATCATCCAATCGTTCCGACCAACCTTTCTACTAATGTGATGCACGGAAAAACTTTATATAAAGAGAATCCGCTAGTTTGGGCCAAAGTTGGAGATGCGACTTTTTTCTCTGCCTATTACGAGGACAGGAAAGAGCGATACGGTCCTTCAATAGTGCTGTTAGGATATCAGAGCCGACAGACAGAGGGAGGTACTTTTTATTGTCTGTTTCATTACAAGGAGGGAGATGGGGAGAGAACGCTCTCCTGTCAATCACAGAAATCAGTTTATATTGAAATGGACGCCTGCAACTATCAGAAAGAAGTGCATAAGAAGAAGCCGTACAAGTATAAACATGTGTTTCATGTTTGTCACCTACCAGGAGGTGACACCCGAGTACCCACGGCTGTCTCGCTTAGCTCCGCCCACACATGTGAGCCATCGTCAACCCCTGTACCAGTGTACGTCTATCGGCCGCTGGTAAAGGCTAATATAGGGGTGTGTCTGGAGACACCTGTTTTTGGAAAGAGTTTGGAGGATATGGTCAATTTTATTGAAATGCAGCGAATCTTTGGAGCCCAAACCATTACTATATACTTATTGGACGTATCGACTGAAATAGAAGAACAATTAAAGAGAGCATACGCCAGAGATGAGAGCTTAACGCTAGAGGTCTTACATTGGAGTAAAGGTTTCAAGGAGAAGGACCCTTTACATTACTATGGTGAGATACTAGCGATACATGACTGCTACTACAGGAACCTCCACAGAGTGAATTACCTAGCAATGCTTGATCTTGATGAAGTTATTGTTTCAAGAAGACACTCAGACTGGCATCAGATGTTACAAGAACTTGATAAAGATTACGTCGATAGTTTTATATTCATCAACAGTGTGTATCTTAGAACACCAGATAATGAATTACCAAAAGTCAAAACCACCGAACTAGAATCCTATCTTTGTCCGGGTCACTCGCTACCACCATACTTCCTGCACTACGGGAAATCAAAGTGTCGGTTTCATTATTACGAGAGATCTAAATTCATCGTAAAACCACTAACAATACTAGATACTGATATACATGGACCTTGTACAAGATTAATGGAGACAACTCACCTGTTTGTACCTGATGATATGGCAGTGAGTCAGCACTACAGGGACAAGCCAACCATTGAGTGTAAGCCGAATAGAAAAACTAAGAAATACGAAGTGAGTTATGATGATTGGTTGCTAAGATACGGGAAAGAGTTCTTATTGGGAACTAAGAGAAAGTTGTGTCCAAATGTTAATTAATATTTTACTTGTTATTAATTATTTATTTATAGATACCACCATTATATTTATTTATTCTACAATTTATAATTGATTTCTCAATATCCCATCTCCATTATTTATTTATTATTATTAATTTTTATAAATATCATATTCATGTTAACATGTAGCGGAAAATTTCGCTTAATTAGCAAAAATTATGTACAGAAAGATTTAGTTCACGTGCAGGAGAGAAAGAGAGAGAGAAAGAGAGAGAGGGAGAGAGAGAGAGAGAGAGAGAGAGAGAGAGAGTACATGATATGTAAGTGACTATACTGTCATTTACTGTATAGCCAGAAAATCTGGTGGAGAATTAATTTTGACAGAGTGGCGGTTCAAAATAAAACTGCCAATATTATAACTGTTGATAATACTTTTGCAATTAGGGGCAGATTCTGTCATGAGCACGTGATACAGTATTTCTCACTATTTCAGTCAAGACTATGGGCAAGGAGCAGCTTAAAGAAAAGACAAGATAGTAAATCATCAAATTAAGAGAACACCATTATTATATTTAGGCAGTTTTGATGCAAAACTGCAAAATTTTTCAGCTATGTGGTAATATATTATGTACATAGTGATGAAGATGTTAATCTTATTAGTGATACCATATAAGGTAACCTCAGATTATATGATGTCACAGTCCTATATCACTGATTCATTGAAGTGGAGGACATAATGTCACTGAGTGTTGTGTGCATAATGTCACTGAGTATTGTGTGCATAATGTCACTGAGTATTGTGTGCATAATGTCACTGAGTATTGTGTACATAATGTCACTGAGTATTGTGTGCATAATGTCACTGAGTATTGTGTGCATAATGTCACTGAGTATTGTGTGCATAATGTCACTGAGTATTGTGTGCATAATGTCACTGAGTATTGTGTGCATAATGTCACTGAGTATTGTGTACATAATGTCACTGAGTATTGTGTGCATAATGTCACTGAGTATTGTGTGCATAATGTCACTGAGTGTTGTGTGCATAATGTCACTGAGTATTGTGTGCATAATGTCACTGAGTATTGTGTGCATAATGTCACTGAGTATTGTGTACATAATGTCACTGAGTATTGTGTGCATAATGTCACTGAGTATTGTGTGCATAATGTCACTGAGTATTGTGTGCATAATGTCACTGAGTATTGTGTGCATAATGTCACTGAGTATTGTGTACATAATGTCACTGAGTATTGTGTGCATAATGTCACTGAGTATTGTGTGCATAATGTCACTGAGTATTGTGTACATACATGTATTACCCAGTTACATTATATGTACATTGTATTGATGATGTACATGTGATGATCATATGTACCTATTGGTTGACCATATTAGGATAATGTCCTTATAAGGTAACTCTATTATATTAAATCAGTAGTCCATTGATGAAGCATTGAGCAGCTTGTGATATGGAGGACATTAATTCACTTCATGACTTTACATCACCTCCCCTCCCTACCTAATAAAGAATATTATAATCATGATCACTGATATCCAATAACAGCTATCAGCTAGTGTATAGTGTAATATGATATTCAGTGTTATTGATGTGTTTAACTATTATCACGAGGTGTGCTACATCCAATACACGGCCCACTTTTAGACCAATACACTCATCATTTCTACTGGAGTACTAGTGCACCCATCAATTGGTACACCCTCCGCTGATACTCTACAGGCTACAACTGTTTTGTACTTATTGAAAGACTTTATAGAAGGCTGGTTACTATAGATCTTTATTGTTGCAAGATAGCTGTTCTTTTATTATTTTTAAATCCTGCGCTTTCTTTATATTGTGATGTAAGTCCATAGCTACATCTTAACTTACCGAACTCTCTCATTGTCCTCCATACTATATAGTACAAGATGATTGATGTCTCTCAATGGAGAGCAAGTATTGGACTGTGGAACTACTGTCAAGCTGCCTCCAGTAGACCAGCTAATGGCCACCACTCTCACTCATTCAAAGCTGCAGTAGACAGCAAGTCAGGCAGTACTACATCAGGAGAGAAGACATCTAAACTGCCAGCAGCAGCTCTGTCTCTTATTGCTTTACTCCTCCTCCTCTTTCACATTCTCTCTTTATTAAGACACATCTTAATGATTCCTCCAACAGGTAAACAACAATTGCAACTTTGTACTTTTATATTTACTGGTATTATATTTTTAGGTAACTGCTACCAAGTACAATGTACTACTGGTGTTACTGTTACTGATACAAATTACCTCCAGTCAGTAGTCTTACCTGGAGGCAGTAGTACTAACAGTGATCTCTATTTGATCGTTTGTCTACGTATGCTCCTCCTCTTATCAGGAGATGTTGAACTCAATCCTGGTCCTATGATTGATGATAAACCTGACATTACCTTGCTGCTTCAATGGCTTGAGCCACTTGTTGACTGGCAGCCATTTGGACGACAGTTACCAGGATTGACTGCAGATATTATTACAATAATTGAACAATCAGAAACTGATCTCTATCATAAAAAGAAAAGGCTCATCACAAAATGGTTATATATTAATAAAAATGCAAAATGGAAGGATGTGATTTTAGCATTAAAAAGAAGGAAAGAAACCGAACTAATGCAATTCATTAGTAATCAGCTAGAAGTACAGCAATGCACAGGAGGTATATGAGGCATGATTGTTATTATAATTATATTAAATTTATAATAGGTAATAATGATTATATAACAGAAGAGCTCAATTTGTCACAAACCATTAATAGTAATGATCAGTTACAAGTACATCAATGTACAGGAGGTATGATCATGTATTTATAATAATTATGAATAATTATATTTAACATGCAATAGGTAATACTGATGCTCCTACTAGTACTGTACTAGTAGTATCTACTGTATCATCATCAGTTTCTGAACCTGTTACTAGTACTACATCAGGTAAACATACACTTAATACAACACTCATTAACTGATACACTACTGCAGGTAATCCAAAGGATATATTAAGGACTCATGCTAGTAAAATTGTTGATAGTATTTCTATTGACATTCCAAGAACAGCATATGCACTGTACTCTAAAGAACTGATACCACAACAAACTAAACAGGAAATGCTTGTACCAGCAGTTGATAATTATACTAAAGCTGCCAACCTTATGAATGTCATTGAAAAACAGTTGGAATCCTCTTTCAATCCAGAGCACTACCTAACTGAAATGTGTCGAGTATTAATGAACCAACAACATCGTACACTAACAGATATTACTACCTCTATATTACACCAGTTAGGTGAGTGTGTGTGTGTGTGTGTACATTATCAGTGATCAATATTATAAAGTAAATAAAAAACATTAAAAAT